TAAAAGCATTAGCCCTTTTTTAAGTTCTTTTATTTTTAAAAAAATCAATATGAAAAATATAAAAAGACTAAATAACTAACTAAAAGAAATAAAAATCCTACACTCATCCTTCCTCCCTCATTCTTTCATTAAAATTTAGTTGATGATATTAACAGAGTTTAATTTTTATTGGTGTTAATTTTGATATTGTTATTTGATATTAGACTTAGATATTTAAGTTTTATATATTTGTTATAGTGTGAATTGACTTAAATTTATTTTTATAAACTTAATCTTATATGTAATAATTTTTTTAGAATTATAAATATATTCTTTAGGTTTTAAAATTAAAAAGATAAGGTTAAGGCCTACAAGGCCGACCCTTTAATCTTGAGAGCCAGGGCCAAGCTTTACAAAATAAAACCCTTAAATATAATTGAGCATATTAGGGTTAACTCATTTTGATCTTAGCCCTTCAAGGGTTGGGCTATCCCTAATTCATAACTCTATAGGTAGTTAATTATATAGTAACTAAATAAAAAATAATATTAAATGTATGTAATATATATACTCCCTCCGTTTAAAAATGTAAGGCATTTTTTAAAAAGTTAAATGTTAAAAAATGTAAGGTATTTTTAATCTTTCGATATGTAATCATTACCTTTTTTTTCAAAAGTATCCTTATTAATAATAACTTTATATTTATTACAAGGTATTTAATAGGGGTAAATATGAAAAGATAAGGTTAGTTTGAAAGTATGTAACTATTTTACTGGGTAAATATGTCTGTCTTTATATGTATCTAAAGTTCTCTATCAATGTAGCTCCATGAAGCTGAATGCAGGAGGAATTGAAGGATAAGGGTAAAGCAAGAGGCCTGGAAATGGAAACAAAGGGATCACCTGAAACTGAAATCGGAGCAGCAGAAGCAATCATATCAGAGAGCGCAAACAAAAATGGGTTCGCTTCTCCTTGAGTACGACTCGAGAATTGAATGAAACAGTCATGGCAGGGCAATTATTTTAAAGGGTGGGTGGGTAAAGTAAAGTTGGTTTGATCAGGACGCATCTTCGAGTCGAGTCCAGTCGTCTCCAACAAAAAAGGAGAAATCTAAATTAAAAGAAGAAAGAAGAGAAGAGAGAAAGTGACTATATGTTTATTCTTTTTGCACCGTAGCTACTTCATTCACCACCAGTTCACCTTGATACCGTGAAGGTGAAGCTTTTTTCTTTTTAGGGCAGCCAGCAAGATTCTCCAATTCGGATTGTCCCTCTCGTCCGGCCTTCTTCGAGCTACAGAATAAACAATTCCTTCAACCATTGATGATTGACCCGTCAATACAATTTGGTAAAAATTTGACATTATGACTCACAAACCACCGAATTTAGATCCAAGTTTAGATTCTGCCCCAACGAGGAGCTTATTTTTGGGTCCAAGTGTATTGTAAGCGCTCGACCCTTAATCATGTTTCAAAGGCCGACCGCATGTTAAATCAAGACAGAATTTCAGATAAGGATCGCGGAAGGAAAAAAAACAAATTATCAGTGAACCTTAAAAAAAAAATTAAATTCTCTACAAGATTATGAACTGAATTGAAATAAAATAGGTGGGTGAAAAGAATAAAATACTCTTATATAAAAGAAAGAAAAAATTATTAACAACTGATATTGATAAATTAATAAGTAAAGTTAAAGAATTAATAATTAATGATTTTATATTTAAGATAGAATGATTGAACTAACATGATTATTGACAAATCATACGATTCACTATTAATGTTGGTAAATTAACAAGTAAAAGTTAGATAATTAACACTTGATATTGGTATGATTATTAACAGATGAAATCAGATAATTTACAACTAATATTAGTAAATAAATAAGTAAAGTAAAAAAATTTAATAACAAATGAAGATGTTTTTTGATCAAATCGAGTGAACAAATCTTGTAAAGATTTACAAGTTAAGTAGTTAACAAGTTATGTTGACAAATTAACAAGTAAAATTATGAAATTAATAAATAGTGTTCTTAAGGTCATGGAAGTACGAAATTAAGTAATTAACTATTTAACAATTATGGTTAAGAAATTAACAAATACAAGTAAATAATTAACAAGTAAAATTAGATAGCAACTAAGTACTTGATAATTTTGCAAAAGGACATTTTGGTCTCTTTAGTCACTCATTTTATTTCAATTGAACTCAAAAATCCTATAGAGAAAATTTTAAATTTTTTAGGATAAATGAGTAAATATATTTCTTTCATGGTTCTTAACTAAAATTCTCCCTTAAATCAAAAAGAAAGGTCTTGATTTCTAAATTTTATAATCTAAATATTGAGACAGATAGCTAGAATTGTCAATTAAAACGAAGCCTATCAAGTTAATCCTTTTAAATTTAAAAATAGTCAAGGTTGAGCTAGTATTTGAGGATAAAAAATAGTAATTTAGGGTCCTTTTAAGCTCAAAGATAAAAGCATTAGCCCTTTTTTAAGTTCTTTTATTTTTTAAAAAAATTAATATGAAAAAAATAAAAGACTAAGTAAGTAACTAAAAGAAATAAAAATCCTAGACTCACCCTTCCTCCCTCATTCATTCATTCAAATTTAGTTGATGATATTAATAAAGTTCAATTTTTATTAGTGTTAATTTTAATATTATTATTTAATATTAGACTTGGATGTTTAAGTCTTATATATTTATTGTAGTATGAATTGACTTAAATTTATGTTTATAAACTTAATCTTATATGTAATAATTTTTTTAGAATTATAAATATATTCTTTAAGTTTTTAAATTAAAAAGATAAGGTTAAGGCTCACAGGACCAACCCTTTAATCTTGAAAGCTAGGGCCGAGCTTTATAAAATAAAATCCTTAAATATAATTGAGCTTATTTGGGCTAACTCATTTTGATCCTAGTCCTTCAAGGTTGGTCTATCCCTAATTAATAACTTTATAGGTAATTAATTATGTAGTAACTAAATAAAAAAATAATATTAAATGTATGTAATATATATATATATATACTCTCTTTGTTTAAAAATGTAAGGTATTTTTAATCTTTTGAGATATAATTATTGTCTTTTTTAAAGGTATCCCTATTGATAATGACTTTATATTTATTGTGGGGTGTTTAATAGGGATAAATATAAAAAGATATGTTTAGTTTAAAAGTAAATAATTACTCTATTAAGGGGTGATATTCGATTAAAAATGCCTTATATTTTTAAATAGATGGAGTATATATTATGTGTTTTTTGCCAAGAAAATCCATATTATGTTTAGTTATTAATAAGGTAACATAATATGATCATAAATCAATAATATTATAATTTATAATTTTATAACTCATTAAATATAGGTGGGTTTCAATTAAAATGGATAAATTCAAAAGTACCTGCATTTGTATTTATAATTACTAATATTTTTGTAAAAAAAATTGGTCCCAAATTATATTATATATGTGGATGGCTGCAAAATGAAGTTAGCTTTTAAATGTTTTTTATATTATGTTTATACCTGTTTGATTTTTTTAAAAATCATTTTAGTTTCTAGTTCATTGGAAGCTCAATTCCAATTCAACTCAACTTAACTATAAAAATAATTTTTTGTTTCAAACCAAGCCATTAATGACTTTGGTTAATAATCCAACCAGTTCGACCATCCAATCTGGTTCTTAAAATAATGATCAAAGCATCTATTAATTTTATCAAGATCCAACTCACCTTAACTTAATATATTAAAAAAACTTATGATTGAGTTGTATGTTTTTTTTTTTTTTTGGTGAATGAGTTGTTTGTATTTTGGTTTGTTTGTCATGACAAGTCTAATTATGAGTAACCCTCTTAAAAGCTACATTTACACTATTGGAACTCAAAATTTCTTGTACAGTCATAACTCAAGGCTTGTGCTAGCCTTGAGTTAAAAAGATATAAATACTTTTTGTAATTAAAAATAACAAATATAAAAATCTTGAAATTGAAAGTGTCTAAAATTTATCAACTCAAAGTTTACGCAAGTGATAGAAATTATCGACACACATTACTTAAAGCAAGTGATTAAAAGTGGGAATCGAATCTCAACTCTTATAAATGGGTTTAGCTTCAGTACTCTGTTGTTGGTGGAGTCCTTGTGCAGTCTTAGATTTTCTATTACAAAAAATTGTTATATAAAAAGAAAAATAAATGTATAAAAAGACGAACCTCTCTACTTAGAATATACAGATCAGCACTGAAGAGGATCACAGGATCCCATTGATATATAGACACAAAAAGTGACCTTTAATTTTTGGGACGGCTCATGAATTTTTTTCTTTTTTTTGGGCAACACTAATGACTCATTAGTGTTTGACTGGTCACCAGTCTGAGGCCGGTTCTTGTTTGATTCAGTCTATTGTTTGCTCAAAATCAGAATAAGTATTGATTCTCAGTTTAACTAGTTCAACCAGTTGGTCCCGTCCGGTTTTCTTAACAATGCTAATGAGTTCTCAAACCCCACATTAAAAAAATATATATATGAGTGTAAGAGTACATGAGATTGTTACATTATCACTTTCATAAAGTGATTTTATATAAAAAATTAAAATAAGTAAAAGCAATTTTTTTTTGGTTTTTGGTTAAATGTAATTATTATGACTATAATTTATATCATTTAAAACAGGCGTGAATCTTAGAGGAAGTGATTATAATTGCTTAAATGCAAAGTTTTGAGTTCGAGTTTATATAAATTTAAAATATATATTTAAGAAAATTATCCCCACTTAAATTTGACAATATTCGAATATGACTCTGTTAATTTGTAAATAGTATCTTTACCATTAAAGCCCAAGAGGAGGAGCCACTAGTGGTATAGATTGGCACTGGGCCAAGCTTTTCTTGCTTTCTTTTTCTTGTGTTTTTTCATGGACCCAACTTTTGCGAAATTTGTCAGTCACACTCTACAGTCCATTGTTGGTGGATACAAGGTGCAACGTCCCAGTGATATGATGCCATGACATAGACCTAATTACCTAACTATCAAAAGTTTGGATCCAACGAAACAAACTACGATTTTTGTAATTAAAATGGGATTGTTTCAATAAAAATATATTTATGTGTAATAAAAAATAAATCGAATTCATAACCAGCTTCTCCCTCAGTTTCATGAATTCTAAGAGGCACCTTACTCTGATTCCAAGTTTGCATCACATTTTCAGAGTTAAATCGCTCAATTCGAATCTTGTCGTTATACCCATTTCTTTGCTTCTTTTTTTTTCCCCCAATATACATGGCCATGGTAGGAGCCGTGCAAGAGAACAACAGCTAAGTTAAATCAGAATCCAAAAGATCTCAGTCGTTATACCCATTTCAATACCAAGCTCAGAACGATGGTTCATACGTGTTCAAACTAAGATCTGGATTCTGGATGGTGTAGCTCTGTGACAATGAAACTGACCATAATCAAAACAATTAAGCATAAATGACATAAATACAGTCTAAATGATGATACTGGAAAATATGAATAGGTGCCAAACTCTTTCACGCTCTGAAACAACTCAGGGAAGCAGCAAGTTTCGCATCAAGTGATTGTAGCAAAGAAAATCTTTTAAGCAATTCTGGGCTCAATGATTCATCATCAAGAAAGCTTACATGGTGTACAGGGAACGTTGGCGGCACAAACAGCATTGGTCCTCTCTTTGCGATTCACTCACACAAGCACAGGTCTCCATTCAAACTATGGACAGAAGAAGTGATGAGATCCTATGTGACGTCCTAGGTGGCATGCCATGTCATCAAGACATCCAATGCCAAATCATTCAAGTAGAAGAAAGCACAAGGAAAGAAATCAATATCCAAGAGCTTATAGTGTGGAGGGATCTCACCAGGAAGAAAGCATATTTCATGTGATAAACGAAAATAGTACTTTCCAAAGTCATGGAGATCTGATACTTCAGAACTCAATACATGACTATACAACATAAATGCACAAGTAGGTAATTTAGATTACATAACCACTGTTAACACATCAAAACTTCAAGAGAACAATAAAAAATCCCATCTTTTAAAGGAATGTAGCCAGGTCCCGATTAAAACATAAACTTACATTCTTCAAATTGAAAGGTGCTATTAAGTCAAGAACATTGATCAACAAATGGGACGATTTCTGAAAGGGAAGAAGAGGACTAATATAGTTATCAGTGCATAGTATATCAGGTCAATAATTCAATTCACTTGTAAACTGAAAAATGCTTCACCCATGACCAAAGAAACTACATAATGAATTCCTGATAGACTCCCATCCCAACCAGTGGCACTTTGGGTCAGCTAATGCAAGTAGACAAGTCAAGAGATAAAAAAAAGCATGCGTCTCTCCCTTTAGCTATGAGTATTGCATAACTACAAGAGTAATTAGCCTTGGAATAGTCCTAACAGGCCTAGTTAGACTCTATCATTGCCTTTTAAGCAACATTAACTGTCTTTCAATCCTTTTATAGTAAAAGGAATGATAAAGAAAGGAACAGGCAATCAGGCAAGGGTAAGGGCAAGGGTATTTGATACAAAGAAAAGCATTAATCATAGTAATAAGCCAAGAAAGATGCGTCATCCAATCTTTTCAGTTTCAGGACATGCAAAACTCATCAGACAGATATAAGGAATATGCAAGTCATCAGTATTTGTATTTCTGAAGACAAGAGCAGCAAAACCACATAATGCCAAAGGAAAAAAAAAAAAAACAGAACAAACACTGCAGCCAACTATACTACCAAAAAAAGCCAGAGAAAAGAAAAAACATATATGCATCAGGAGAATAATCCATAAACTAGAATTAGCTAGCATGGTTAGTATACCAATGAATAATACCCAAATAATTGCCAAAGAAAACATATAAAGACAATAACTTTATGTATCAAGACTGTGATGGATACAGACTGGAGTTAAGAGAAATGTGCCATTACAAATTGATCTTGCATGCAGATACACATCATAAAACATAGAATACTAAAATTATCAGCTGTAGAAACATAGTGATGATTCTTGAGGGGGATGACAGTTCAGTAATTTAAAGCATCAATAAGACCATCAACGAGTTAACAGACATCTTGGTTCATAGTTTATTAGCGAGAGTGTGTGACTATTAAACTTTAATTCAAAACGAAGTATGCACAAATTGCCGCAAATTATTATAAGATTAACCGGAAGATGATTCGCAGTACCTGTTACTACAACACTTACAAGCATGCATACAACTACAGGTAGAAAATCTACAACAGGGAACAAAAATACAGGCGGCAATAAAAGCTAGTGACCCTTAACCTTGTCATCTGCTACAACATTGAGGATGGGCAAGCTATTGAGGAATTCATCAAGACCTTCAAAAAATGCATTCCCTTCTATATTTTCCTCAGCATTTCCAGCTACATTACCATCTCTCACTGCTGGGGCTGGCTCTTCCACCTCATTGCTGAACTCCACATTCAAATCCAATTTCCCCAGATTCCCTGCACCCCTTCTTCTAGAGCTATTCGCGGCTTTTTTACTCAATTCTGCCCTCACAGTATTAGGCACACCAGACCCACCGTCTCCGACCACGCCATTTTCTAAATTGGCATGTCCTGACCCACTCTGGCTCCCTCTCCTAGTTCTTTCAGAAAAAGCTCTTCTAACTTCACCACTAGCATTACCAGAGGTTTTTCCTTTGTTCTTAGCCCTCTTCTTTGCCCTCTCGCTCCTCGCTCCCCAATCAGCATCATCAGAATCATCATCACTTGGATCAGAAAGTTCAATGAATGCAGCAGCAGCTTCATCATCATGAAAAACCCAAGGACCTCTCCGAGAACCCTTGTTAGATGCTCCTCCTCCTCCTCCTCCTCCTCCTCCTCCTCTCAAAGGGCATGCAAACGTTGCAGAGAATGGGTTCCACTTGGAATTAGTCCCACTTATGTGTCTGAAATCCCCAGAAAACCCTAACGGGAAAAACCCCCAACAGCAATAATACGAATCTTTCCCCGCCACCGGCGGCGTCCGTACCCTCACCGCATGGAATCCCCTTCTACAGCTCTGGCACCTTAGGGTACAGTCCTCGTACAACTCCGGGTACTCGTACATAACGTAACAATATGGGCACGCCGTCCAGAAACTCGAACCCGTCTCCGACACCACTGGGTCACTCGTCCGAGCTTGTGGGGTCGGCTCCGTCGTGGCAATGTTAGGGCTCGGCCTACGCTCGCCGGCAGCCGCCTTCCCATCTTTCGACCTTGGGCCCCGCCTTGCCGGACTTCGCTGCTGCTGTGGTGGCCGCTGGACAAGGGGTGGATTGGGAGTCGGAATCGGATTCGAAGTCGGAACCGGGTTCGGCGCTTGCACCGTTGCCACCGGAGCAGGTTGTGGGGGAGGGGCTGTAGGAGGTGGGCCGGTGACCATACGCAGCTCGTTGTCGTACATAGCCTTCTTTGCGGGACTGGAGAGTACAGACCACGCGTCATGAACGAGTGTGAACGCGTGGCTAGAGAACGCAAAAGGGTTACGGTGAGGGTCGAGGAGGAGAGCGAGACGACGGTACTGCGAAGCGATGTACTCGATGTTATGAGTGTAAGGCAGAATCTGGAGGATGCTATACCAGTCATGGAGGCCATTGATCCGATTCTCGCCAGCGAGGAGGGTGTCGAGGACAGCGAGGAGCAACTCCGAGGCGTCAAATGTAGGATCAGACTCGCGAGCTCGAACTGCAAAAGACCTAGCGCCGTGCAGATCACTGGCGCTGAGGAGCTTATTGGCGGTGTAGAGCCACCGTTCGGCTTCGGCTCTGCTGCTACTATTGTCCATTTTCACGGTGGCTTTGGGCTTCGATTGACGCTGCAAGTGCTGTCGTAGTGTTGTGTGTGGGGTTTGGGAGGAGATGGGGGAGAGTGGAGGAGAGAGAAAGGAGCTGATTCAGAAAGGACAGGAAAGGAAGGAGTAATTACGAGGTACGAAGAAGGGAGGGAGGGCAGAATAGAAGGGCATAATGGCCATTGAATTGGGATAGGAGTTGCTGATGCAAAACAGAGCAGAACATCAGGATCTGTGCAAGAACCGAAGGAGCAGAAATGAAGTAGGTTGGATACTTCAGTTCAGTGACCAGTGATGTGAGTTGTGACCGTTGACCTAGGAGTTACTGTGTTAGAAATGAAAAAGTGTACTATTTACCATGTAATATTTTTTTTTAAAAAAAAACACACATACATATATAATTAAGTGGGCAAAATATAAATATAAATAAATATAAAATAAGTTTGTTCTCCCTTTCATTTCTGAAACGTAAGTTGTTTTTATAAATGACACATTTTTTTCTAATTATCTGCCGTATTTATTATTTTTTTTACAAGAATGCCTTATTAAATTCTGACATTAATTATTTACGTGACTATGAAAGAGGGACAAGATGTTCAACCATATTGAAAAGCATTTTTGACAGGAAATGATAAAAATTTTAATCTTTTAAATTTATTTTAATTATTAATTTACTCTTTTAAGTGTTTTGTTATTCATGAATTAGTAACAACTTAGTTTCATTTAAATTTTGTATTATGTATAGAATTAAAAGGGGATGTAAATTGTGTGCCTTGCACAATTATGTATAGAAAATTAGAATAAGGTAAATTTTTTAATAACATAATATTTATAAATACAGGCACATAAACACATATATGTAACGAATTGGCAATATATATATATATATACACAAAATAAAGTTAATACAAGAACATTTTTGCAAACAAAGTTGCTTTGATATGTGATTTTTTCCTAATTATCTACCGTTTTTTTTTACAAGAATGCCTTATTAAATTTTCACATTAATTATTTAATAGACTATGAAAGAGAGACAAGACGTTCAACTATATTGAAAAGTATTTTTGATAATAAATAATAAAATTTTTAATCTTTGAAGTCTGTTGTAGTAATCAGTCCTTAAAATTTTATCGTTTATGACTTGTTGATAGTTTTTCATATAAATTTCATATTATGTACTATAGAATTAAAAGGGTGTCCAAATTTTGCATGTGTCTTACACAATTATAGTGTTAACTAGTGAATGAATTTTTAATCAATCTTAAAGTCAAATTTTAATTGTTTGCTCTTTAATTGCTCAAATGACGATATTGGTATCCGTTAAAAAAAAGTGCATATTATATTTGAATATTGTTAGAGTAAATAATATGAGACAACGAAATTTTTTTGTCATTCAAGTTTATTTTGATTATCAATTTAGTCTTTAAAGTTTAATTTTTATTAATAAAGTTCCCAAAATTTCATAATCATACATAATTAGTCTCCATGATTCTTTTTTAATGAAAGGACAAATTTTATTTAAAGAAACATATCACAAGCTGGAGGCCAATTCCAAAGAAAAAAAATCTCTTGGGAATTTGCCTAAGGTAAGAACAGAAAAATAAATATTAGAAAAATTACAACCATAGTAGAAAATGTCCTGATGAATGGGTTTGTGAGAAAAGTTCTCTGTGAAGATAACTGGGTTGACAAGTCTTCTCTGAAGACATTGGATGAAGAAATTTCTATCTCTACTGGTGGCATGAATTCATGAGAAGATGCAATCTAATGAAGAATAATCCTTAAAGCAATTAAAATCAGACTTTTGCATTTGAAATTGGTTGGGATAATCCATTTGAAAAATCTTTCCAAACGGTCACTAGAGTTAACATAAAAGAGAAGGCAGATCTATTTGTCAATTTTGGCCTATTTATAAGATAAGAAGAGAAGAATTTTTTTGTTTATTTATGTTATCCTATTTATAAGAAAAGAGATTGTTTATTTGTTTATACTTATAAGACATCTTAATAATTATTTTATTCATCTTTAACCTTTTATCCATATTATTTGTTTGTCAAAGCCAGTATATATATATATATACATATATTAATCATAAAAAAAATGATAGGCAATACTCTTATTAAAAATTTGTACTTTTCAATCCTTATTCTAAAGCAAATTGCCTTTCAGTGCCGCATTAACAATAATTTATTACCTTGCAATGCCACTTCAACAATCACATTCTAGGTTCATGACTATAAATATATAATACCCCATCCCTTTTAAATTATAAATATTTTAAATAAAATCTCACATATCAATAAATTTCATTAAATACACTTAATATTCTTATATTTTTAAAATAAAAATATAAATTTTTAAAAATACTTATCATTTAATATATTAAAAAAGAGAAAGAGTAAAAATTAATTATAGAGAGAGGAAATATGAAATTGAAATTGGAGCATTTAATATAACCTTAATCTACTCAAAGTGTCTTATATCTTAAAATAAATAATCTTTTAAAAATATTTTATAATTTAACAGGAGAAACTATATGTGTGTAAACCTGAAAGTTTATGGCCTTACTACAATTCCTTGCATTCTGTGTTATGAAATCAGCCCCCTACCAACGCAGTTCCGTCCTTGCCAGTATGAAATTATCTAGAACTAAATGTTAATTCAATAAAATCAAATTGTTATTTTTGAACTGTTTGTTGTTATTAAATTCTGAATTGTGTAACATTTTTTGTTTTTTTTCTAGGTTATCAGGGAAAAATCACAACACCAACTTGAGAAGCACAGATATTTACTCGTCAAAAATTATACTTGTTCTTGGAAAAAAAAAATCAAAGTTTAACGTCTTTTTTTTTTTATGTAACTTGTATAAAATCTAAACTTTTCCTTCTATAAATTTGGAGTTTGACTTATAAGTTTTTTGTATCGTCTCGGTAAAAGTTTTTAGTAAATGAGGAAACCACATATACACTTAAAAAAATTGAACATGTCCTTGTTAAAAATCGAAGTTTGACTCCTAATTTTTTTGTGTCACTTAGATAAAAATTTTCCGGTACATGTTGAAACCATATATATACTTGTAAAAAAAAAAAAAAAAAACTGTCCTTGTCAATAATTGTGGTTGGCTTGTTAATTTTTCGAAAATCTTGGATAAAGTTTGTCGATATATGACAACCACCGTCTGGACCTTTGAAAAATCGAACATATCTTTGTCAAAACCAAAATTTACTTGTTAATTGATTTACGAACTTGAAGAAATACAAAACAATGCTTGAATTTATGAAAGTCTATTTTACAGATCTTGTCCGAACATGATATACCAAAAAAATGCATGTTCAAATCAAAATACTCACTTTGTCAAAAAAATATAAAGTATTTTTAATTGAATATCACTCTTAATAAAAGTAATTATTTATTTTTAAATTAAAAACATATTTTTATATTTACTCCTACTTCCTCCATTTTTATTTATAAGAGAAACTATCACTTTTTACTTTTTTTTATATAAGTAAAATCACATATTTTAATAAATATTTATTACATATTTTTTAAATTACCCCTCACAATTTACATTAATAAAAAATAATTAATATATACTTGTGTTGATTAATATAGGACATTTTAGTTTAATTTTTTTATTTTCAGACATAAGTATTATGGTCAACCAACTTTTTTAAACTATGTGATATAGTTTTTTTTTGTTATATATAGAAATGGAAAGAGTATTTAATATGTTATTTCACTTTAAATAAATATAAAGTGAATTATTTATCAAGGGTGCTTGTGAAAAAAAAAAATAATGATTACACTTTAAAACACTAAAAATACCTTATATTTTTTAACATTTAATTTCTTAAAAAATAAGTTACATTTTTTAACAAGGAGTACATACTTGTTAAAACATAGGTCTCGTTTGCTTATTAAAAAGAAATGGAATGAAATAGATTGAAAAAATAAAAGTAAAAATAAGATGATAAAAAGGACAAGAGAGCACATTCATAAGGGAGAAGGTAATTTAGTTTATGGGCTTAAAATCATAATTTACAAGATTTTTTGAAAGATGTGATTATTATCACATTTATAATATATATTAAGGAGTTTTACCATACTTATTATAAGAAAGGATAATTTAGTTCATTTTTATCTTTATATTTTTAATTTATTCATTTTTAGTAACCAAATAAGACCATAAAGTTTTACTTGTTAATTCAGTGTAATAGAATAGTACAAATATTATTCTCCTCCCCTTCTTCTTCCTCTACATCTTCATTTTTTTCTTCATCTTCCTCTTCTTCTTTGAATCTTTCAGTTCCTTTTTTCTTTCCTTGCATTTTTCTCTTCCTCTTCCTTGTCTTCCTTTTTTCTTGTTCTTCCACGTGTATCTATTTACATTTGCAAGGCTATTTTACAAAAAATGTGAACATGATATATTGAACTTTTACATGTTAAGGTTACGAAATCTTATTAATACGTTAACTTTTACTCTCTCTTTTTTTTCCTTTGCCCTTCTGCTTCTTCCTCATCCTCCTTCTCTTCAATACCATCTTCCTTTTCTTCCTTCTTCTTCTAACACGTTTCCTTCTGACTATGCTGGCAAGGTGAAGAGGAAGTTCATTACTTTTAGTTGCTTCTAAGTAATGGATGATGTTCCATGCACATTCATGGTGCTTCTTTAAATTAGGGTTATTTTCGTCATTTTCTATCAAAAGGTATTTGCAACTTTGGCTGTTAGGCTTGCGAAACAAATTAGTCACTAGATTGATAAAAACTAAATTTCAGAAATTAAGTTGATAATTAAGATAAATGTGAAAGATAAAAAATTTTATTATCTCAAAAAGAATATTTTATCATGAGCCATTTGATATAAACTAATGAAGTAATCTAAAAACGAGTCCCTCCTACAAATTGAAGTGCACATTTAATATAGTACATTCACATTAAATTTACAAATTAATGGTTTCTTTAACAAAAATTTAGGTGAGTTGGATCCAAAACTTTATCAGGTTGCGAGTGCATGCCTCTAAACTTAATGAGTATTTAGAAAGATACTTACATATTGTTTAATAACAAGGTGCTCACATTGATAGCTAGATTCAAACCCACAAATTTATGAGCTATGAACTAAATCTTTACCAACTAAACTAATCTTTGTTGGCAATTAACAAGTTAAATGTTAATAACTTTGTTCAAAATTAAGTATTTTTAATTTAAAATTTTGAAAAGCTTGGATCTATTTTGAGCGACTCAACTTATAGGCGCACCATGCATGACCATATATGCTGCGTTAGAT